TCTCATCTCCCCCGGTAGCCGCATCCCACAACAAGTTCCCCGCCTTATCCCAAGTTTCCTTCTGAAAAGCAGTGGCCGAGTCAGGGGGAATTCCCTTTTGTTTTAGCCATGCAAGCAACAGGCGGAGGGTATAGTCGTCATACTTAATTCCGTGCTTTTCTAACAGCTTCTTAATAATACGCAATATGGACTCCTCCTCCTTTGTTAGTTGCGATCCCATTTTAAGTTCCCAGCTGCTCACCTCTGCTCCGACGAGGCGATGGTTCAGAATTCCGGCTCCAGCTCTCCCCGAGACCGCTCCGTCTCCCGCTGGCTGCTGCTCGTTCAGCTGGGTTCCCCACCGGCGCTCAGCTCCAGCCTTCGTGCCCCAGGTTGGGCGCCATTTGTGTGTGTGGGGGTGTTAACGGCGCGGACTCCGGCAGGCAGCGACCGAAGACCTTTATTGCTCTTTGTCAGCGTTCTTTACAGCAGGCAGAGGTGTCCACGCGCCATCTGCAGCTCGCAGATAGGTTCTAGCCTTGTGTTCACGCGCGTCTATGCTCTGGCGGATTGGCCCCTTCTTCCCGACCGCGCGGCGTGCCTTCGTCGCCTTTATCTTGTTTTCTCCTTCCTCCGTTATCTTCTGCTTACGCGCCTTCTCGTGCCTGCTGGTACCGCGCTTGCTCCTCAAAATCAAACTCAGTAATGTCCGTCGTTAAAGTTTCCATCCCCACAATCTCCCCCTTTTTGTTTTACTAGAAACACTGCGGAAACGGCTCGCTCAATCATTTTTCGCAGACCCTGTAATAAACACGGCACGCAAACCAGGATGCAAAGGAATATTACCAAGCATAGCCCTCCTAGCTTGGCTAGTCCCTTCAACCAGCCGCTTAGACCCCATTTCCCGAATAATTTATCCAACCAGTCCCAGGGGTTTTCCGCTCTTAGTTTCTGTACTCCTTCCTTCAGCATCTGAATGCTGCGGTGAATTGATTCCGAATGGTCAGATAGGTTCATACAGCACGTTCCCCCCCAACTCTTCACACCCGTGTCCCTGCGCTAAAAGCAGAAAAAATCTATCGCTGCTCTATTCTGCAAAGTAGCATGTCGTATAGAATCCACATCCATTAGTAATCCCGTTAGTGCTTCAGAGGTTGCATTTGATTGTTTCGCTAGCCAACATCCTAATTTATTTAATGTGCTTAAACCTTTTGCCGCCGCGACACCCGGGGCCAAAATCGCAACCGCAGCTATAAGCGTCCGGGTTCCATAGGTCGACAGCGTCATCACATTGTGAATTATAGGCGTGTGCCCCGCGCCTACTGCGCGTCTCGGGGGTGCCCCTTCTGTGGTCTAGGATCGTAGATGCGTTTGGCGTTAGTAGAGTTAATCTTCCCAACGAACACGGCCCACCCTTAATACGAGAGGGAATGCCAGGCCAGGCCTGGTCTCCGCATATTAAAAAGACCCCCCCTGGGTAACCTTACAGGCGCATTGGATGATTTCATAGAATCATAGAATCATAGAATCATTGAGGTTGGAAAAGACCTCTAAGATCATCGAGTCCAACCGTCGACCCAACACCACCATGCCCACTAAACCATGTCCCTAAGCGCCTCATCTACTCGTCTTTTAAATACCTCCAGGGATTTGGATATATTGCCGCTTGTCTGGTTACGCCGCAGTGATTCGTTCTTACACATTCCCAGGGTAGCGTTGACTGACCAGGCGCGGGAAACATTGGCCCCCGAATAATTGAAATACAAACACCAATCCATTTTTGTGGACCCTAATAGCTCGAGTTCCTGAGGCTCTATTGGCAAGTGATTAAGACGCGGGAGGCGCCCATCCCAATTGTCAGTGGCGTGTCGTCCCCCCCCCGCAAACCTCCAAGTGATTAAGATGTGGTAGGCATCCATCCCAATTGTCAGTGGCGTGTCGTCCCCCCCCCGCAAGCCTCCTTGAAAGGACTAATCAGGCCCAAGTCCCAATTATCTAAAGGAAGCCCCACTGGGCAGGTGGAGCAGGGGTTGCCGGGGGGGAGGATATCGAGAGGCAGATGGAATCTTGTCCTGTCTGACTGGCCAGAGTCACCCAAACATTTTCCTTCGGCTGTGAGGGTGCCCGCAACGCAGCGACCGCAATGGCCCCCGTGGCTTACGTCTCCCTGCTGCTCCTTTTCCACCCAAATCGCTTGTCACGCTGTCGTTTAGTACTTCCCCAACCTATTTCCCGCACCGTCCACAGCTGGGGGACACGATGTGATCTCCCACACGCCAGCTGTAGAATCTGTGGTTCGGCGCTCCCGGTGGTGTTCCCTTTACGCTTTGTGCACCTTCCCGCCCGGAATTGAGAGTGACGATACCGGTTTCTTTCGCAACTACTGCATCTGCACAAAGTCCATGCGTGACGTGTTGACCCGGGACACTGGAGGCGGGGGATCCCCGTCGCGTCTCGATTATTCAGTTGACTGCTCTCCACCGCCTGGTGCTCCCAGTCCACGGCCAATGGCAACCCACCTGGTCCCCCACATACCCTGGCGCGGCCTGGCCCACTGGGTGGCTCCCCGAATATGGGACAAGATAATTTGCCTAATTCCCGATAGTCTACTTGAAACCATCGATGCGTCTGCGGGCTCCTTGGGCTCCTTGTCCAGATACGGTCGAACGCAGCGGGCGGGTATCCATCGGGGTCCGCGATCTGTCCGTCCTGATCCATCGGTGAATGAGGTGGGTCCTTCAACAGGTACCTCTCCACTCAACGATCTGGGAATTATACTAATTTCCTTGTGAAAGGAGAAGAGTTTGTGGGATGGATAGTGGACTAGAATTTGTCCCTTAAAGTTTTCCAGCGCTATCTGTAGCTCGGGGCTATTAGCCTCACGCCAATTAAGGTGGGCCTTGGTCAGCGGAAGATAAATGGTGTCGAGCTCTGTTCCTGTCAATTCCAAACATCGTGCAACGTCCTTTTCGTACAATCATTGAAAACATTTCTATCTGCGTCACTATCATTTTGGTGCTTGATGCGGCGGGAATACCCACTCAATGATGGCTAAAGGGTCCTGGGTACCCTCGCTGTCCCATTGGCCTAAGAGGCCCACTGCTTGTCGGGACTGATTTAGGACATACCAGTTAACTCCCAATCCTTCAATCACTCGCTGTGCCTGCCTTTCGGTGAGCGCCTGTGAGCGCCTGGCGGAAAAGGACCTGGGGGTGCTGGTCGACAGCCGGCTGACCATGAGCCGGCAGTGTGCCCAGGCGGCCAAGAAGGCCGATGGCATCCTGGCCTGTATCAGAAATAGTGTGGCCAGCAGGAGTAGGGAAGTGATCGTGCCCCTGTACTCGGCACTGGTGAGGCCGCACCTCGAACACTGTGTTCAGTTTTGGGCCCCTCACTACAAGAAGGACGTTGAGGTGCTGGAGCGTGTCCAGAGAAGGGCAACGAGGCTGGTGAGGGGTCTGGAGAACAAGTCTGATGAGGAGCGGCTGAGGGAACTGGGACTGTTCAGCCTGGAGAAAAGGAGGCTGAGGGGAGACCTCATCGCTCTCTACAACTACCGGAAAGGAGGTTGTAGCGAGGTGGGGGTCGGTCTCTTCTCCCAAGTAACAAGCGATAGGACGAGAGGAAATGGCCTCAAGTTGCGCCAGGGGAGGTTTAGATTGGA